TAAAAAAATTCTCAGCTACCACTTTGCTAGTATAGTCACTCTTCAATGGCATGAAATGAGTTTCCTTAAACAATCTATCAATCACAACATAGATCACGTGAACCCATGAGATGAAGGCAAGCCAGTAATGAAATCCATGGCTAATTCTTCCCAAATTGCATGAGGAATAGGTAAGGGCTGTAACAAACCCAAAGGTAAAGTATTAGCAACTTTAGCCTGTTGACAAATCAAACATTGTTGAACAAAAGACTTAATGTCCTTATGCATACCCTACTAATAAAATTGAGCAGCAATTCTAGCTAGAGTTCTAGAAAACCCAGCATGTCCCCCAATCAAAGAGCTATGAAACTCTTGTAAGATATCCTGTAAAAGAGCATGGCCCTTAAGTACCACAATTTTATTCTTCAAAAGTAACAAGCCTTGATGGATGGAATAATGAGGTTTGTTGTTTGTATTGTTAGAACAAGAATCAAAGAGTATTTTTAATTGAGGGTCTTGTTGTTGAGCTTCATGAGGTTAACAACTGAGAAATTGGTTGGGACCACGCCATGTGAAATGATCTAGAAAAAGAATCAGATGCAGCATTCTCTGTTCCTAGTTTGTACTCAATAGTGAATTCATACCCAAGTAATTTATGAAGCCATTTTTGCTGCTCAGGAGTTTGCAAACTCTGATCCATAATAGACCTCAAACTTTTCTGATCAGTTTTGACCACAAATTTATGACCCAACAGATAGTGACGAAATTTGGCTATTGCTTCAGTTACTGCATAAAGTTCCCTAACATAAGTCGATTGTTTCTACATGGAAAAGGATATTTTCTTTGAGAAAAAGGCAATAAGATGTGAGTTCTGACTCAAAACAGCTCCAATGCCCACACTTGATGCATCAGTTTCCAATTGGAAAGGCAAGGCAAAATCAGGCAAAGCAAGTACAGGAGCTTGAGTTAAAGCCTCCTTCAATTTTGTAAAAGTCAGCGAAGCTCCATCTTGCCAATGAAAATTATCATTCTTTAACAACTTAGTCAATGGTCCTGCAAGAGATGCATACCCCTTTATAAATCTCCTATAATAGTCTGTAAGCCCGAGAAAGCCTCTCAATTGTTTCAAATTTGTAGGAATTGATCAAGCCAGAATAACTTGTATCTTGCTGTCCTTCATAGAAATGTCGTTCCCATAAACCGTGTGTCCTAAATATTCCACTTGTTGATCAAATGAACACTTGGACAACTTGGCATTAAGCTTATTTTCCTACAGTAACTATAATACCATCTCAAGATGTTGTAAGTGGGTCAACCACGAAGGGCTATAGACTAATATATCATCAAAAAAACACCAAAACACATTTTCTGAACAGCTTGTTAAACACTTCATTCATCAAAGATTGAAAAGTTGCAGGGGCATTTGTCAACCCAAATGGCATAACTAGCCATTCATATAGACCCTGATGAGTTCTGAAGGTTGTTTTATGCCTATCTTCCTCCTTGACTAAAATTTGATGATAGCTTGACCTAAGATCCAATTTGGAAAAATATTGAGCTCCTTGAAGCTCATCCATGAGTTCATTAACTGTGGGAATAGGAAAGCTATGTTTCACTGTTATAGCATTTAAGGCCCTATAATCAGTGCAAAACCTCCAAGTTCCATCTTTCTTTTTCACCAAAATGATAGGGGAAGAGAAAAGACTATTGCTTGGAACAATAATACCTTCCTGCAGCATATCTTGGACCATTTTTTCAATTTGTTGTTTCTGACTAAAAGCGTACCAATATGTTTTGACTTTAACAGGATCAACACCATGTATGAGGGGTATGGCATGATTATGAGATCGAGGAGGAGGTAAACCAGATGGCACAACAAACACTTGCTGATATGTGTGTAGCAATAAGGCTATTTCTCCATCCATATCAACAGGCAACTCGAGAAATTGATCTTGAGGGACTCTTTGAGACTGAATATGTAAGGAATACATTTCAGCTATGGAATTAGTGGTATGCATTCTTTTAAAATGATGAAATTGGGCCTGAGTAGGAAGCTTGAGATGATCTCCATGTAGAGTAACAAATTGACCATTCAACAAAAACTTTCAAGGTCAGGGTACTATAATCAGAAATATGGGCTACCAAAGTGGCAAGCCAGGAAGCACCAAGGACTAAATCAGCTCCTGATATGGGAAGTAAGTATACTGGCAGAATTAATGAGTGTGATTGGATGGTGACCTCTAGATCTTTGATGAATCCTTCAACTACTAAGGTACTGCCATTTCCTACTAGGACATTGAAATTATATATTGGTTCTATAGGTAACTTCAGATAATTGGCAATCCTTAGTTGGAGTAAATTATCTGAACTTCCACTATCCAAAAGAATTTGAATAGGTAAACCATTGATTAGTCCCTGAAATCCCATTATTCCAACACCAGTAGAGCCCTTTAAGGCATTAAATGACAAATGAGGTTCACAAACAGGTTGAGTATCTTCAACTGCAGATTTAACAAAAATGTTTGCCTGGTCACTAAAGTCATCTTCCTCATCTAACCGTAGCCATAGATACTGTTTATTAGGGCACCTATAAGAGGGAGTGAATTTCTCATCACAAGTGAAACAAAGGCCTTTTTCCCTTCGTAATTGCATTTCAGCAAGGGACATTTTTTTGACAGTAGCATTTCTGGATAGAGGTGTTGTGGTAGGTTTGGGAAGTAAAGGTGGTAGGTTATTGGACTTAAGGGACTGGGAGGAGGATTGGCTAATATTTGTAGGTTGTGTTTGGGTTTTAGTATGATATTTGTAGCTTGTGTTTGGTTTGGTGGCATATTTCTCCTCATATAGTTTGGCTAATGAAACACATCGCATTAATATGGTAGGAGCCTGAGCTAAAACATCACGACGAATATCCTGTTGTAAGCCTCCAGCAAAATAGTCTAACAAGGCATCACCTGTAACCCCTTGCACACAGTTTGCAAGAGCAGTGAATTTCACATAATAATCATGAATTGAGACATCCTGAGTCAACTTAAACAAATATGATCGAGGACATTCATATGGTGAAAGGCCAAATTCAAGTCCAAAGCACGAGTAAAAGCAATCCATGTGGGAAAAACATTAGTTCTAGACTGCATTTGGTACTAAGGAACAACATCCTTGTCCATGTGAACTGAAGCAATGAGTAATCACTGTGCATCTGGCGTTTTATAGTAATCGAAGAACTGTTCAGCTTTGAAAATCCACTACAAAACATCCGAACCATCAAAGCGAGGAAAATCTATTTTAACATTTCGAACCTGGAATGATGAAGACTGAGCAGAAAGACGAGGTCTAGATTCTAGAGCAACAATGGACTTCAACATGTTGTCCATGGTAGTTTCCAACGTCTCAAATCGAGTAGAGTCATCTTTATGACGATCATTTAAGGTTGCAATTAAAGCCTATAAGTCACGATCCGTTGTAGAAATTGACTCGGAAAGTTGCTTAACGTCAACGGCAACATCCTTCGAACGTGATAGCTCTGTTGAAATCTCCTTTAGGCGAGTGTTCTCCGCCATGAGGTGATGAAAGCACCAATTGTAATGTAGCACTCAAAAAGGAAGCAGAAAATGGAGCAAGAAGATTTGCTCTCTATTAACGGAAATGGTTGAACGTACAGAGACAATGAAAATAGTACTTTGCAATATAGAAATGCATAAATGGAAATGGAAGGACCAAGGAGGATAGAGAAATTGAATTAGAGAGAAGGAATTCCAACAACATCATCCACACTCCCTCACTAAATGGTTATTACATTTATACTAGTGACTAATCCACTCATAGTCCTTTAGCCTTGTACTTACGCTCTTGGATCGTGCACCTTTGCCTCTCATCATGCTTTCCGTGCCTTCCACAACGTGTCCATTTGTAATTATTCCCTCTGGTCTCCGTTGCATTCATTTTCCTTACATAATACCCATACAAAAAATCATGGTATCATCGACATAAAAGGGCATGAGACAGTGTTATGAACCATGAGGTCCGACCATTGGCAACAAAAGGCCCTGTTCAACCAAGCATGTTATCCCTCGACTTAGAACATCCTCCATTAGGCATTATAATAACATGGGTAACGGATCCCCTAGATGGATCCCTCTCTTACAAGTAATGTATCTATAGAAGAAGCGTTAATACCAAAAGAGAGTCTTGCAAAATATAGAATAATTTCAATCCAATCATCGAAAACAACATTAAGATCAAAAACCTTCAAAATAAAGAGGAGTAACTAAAATTATAAATTTAATATTATGAAGGGATAAAGGTATAATTTAACAATTAGATTTATATTAAACAATTTATGTGTAATAAAAAATAATAAATTGAAAGTAATTGGAAATTGGAAAAAATATCTTAAAAAAGACTATCGTCTGAAAAGAAAAAACAAATCGAAAAACGTGCTTGTTAAAGTAAATTCCTAAAATTGTTGTTCTAATTTATATATACAGAGAAGATAGTTAAATAGAAGAGGGATAAAAAAGTAACTTAGCCTTTAAATAATTAAATAAAGTAAAAGTGAGCATGTTTATTTTAAGAAGCACATGTGATTTGAGGTAATAGAAATGATTATAGGAAGAAATTGAGCCGTCCCAGTCCCAGCACCGAATGAAAGGGGGAGCAGACAAATTAAGAAACATGGGTCAAACGTTGGAAACACATATTTTACAGCAGGCCAGCAGCCAATATCCAACCCAAATACAATACTCTACATTGCTTTCGTCTACTACCTTACCCGTCTTTCTCCCTTTACTGGTTGGTGCCGCGTGTTCATCTCTTTTTCACATTCAATCAACAAATGCATTCATGAAAATCAGATAAACCTTTTACGTACTTGAGCAAATCGTTTGCATAAACATATACACAGCATTACAAGATTTTTCTAAGCAACACATATAAAAAAAATTGAGCTAATTAAGGCATTTTGCCCCTTAATGCTGATAAAAAAAAAAACAACAACAACAACAAATTAGCACAATAATCACTTAAGATGCCAAACAAACTTCCCAGAACAGCTTGTTCTTTTCCATCTCATCCACAAACTCCTGCCTTGAATCGAAAGACACATAGGACTTCATCTGTTCTTCTTGCATCCCATCATCATCACAATACGACATTCCATAGATATCACTTCTCTTCTCATCATCATCATGTTCTTCATTGCAATAAGAGTGACCCTCATCCTGATCCAATTCAGCAGCGGATCCATCGTAGTTGCATGATAGAGCATCATCGTTATCATCATGATAGCCACCAACTGCCATGGATATGTCACAAGCGTAGCCACCCATGGTGGGAGGGTCACAATCATCTTGTTCAGAGTCACCAGAGGCTTCAAAATAAAAGTAGGAAGAAAAATCCAGAGGCTGCTTCCTCTCCATAGAGCTTGAAACAAAAGGAGGCTTCCAAATTTGTTTCTAAGTTTGATCCTAAAATAAAAGCACAGCTCGAAGGGCATCTCACATCAGAGAGCACTCAATAAGAACAAAACGTGGGCTCTCTTGTTTCACACTTTTTGGTGACATAGACTGCCCAATATTACAAATCTTTGCCTCTCCCAAATGCCTCTAGTCATTATTAAAAAGCAAGGAGGCGCCTCAAATTAGTTTCTCCTCATATTTTCTTTTATTTATTTATTTATTTAATTAATATATATATATATATATATAAGAAATATATCAAGTGAGAGAGAATTTATTATGACAGATGAGAGAGTTAAAATATAACTCTTAGATTAATCAAGTGAAAGAAAATTTGGGGTTTAATCAAGTGAGAGGAAATTAATCTAAGAGTTATATTTTAACCCGATGCTATATATATATATATATATATATATATATATATATGAAATCTACTTAGTCTGAAAGTAAATCGTAGTAGACTTATTCCATTTTATAATTCATAATCTATATCAAATTTTAATGATTTAATCGTTAATTTAAAACTTTTTTATACAAATTTTAAAAAATTTAAAAATTGTTTGATAAAATATTTTTATGATTATCTGTTAATTTGAATTAACGAAATAGAATATTAAATATTTTTTAAATTTTTTTAAATTTATAGACTTGATCTATGTATTAAAAAAATTTAATACAATGATTGAATTATTAAAATTTGATATAAAATTTAAATTATTAACTAGAATAAGTCTTAGAAACTTACTCTTAGAGTAAAAGTATTCCTCCTTATATATAT